CGATCATCTCAAAATCAACGGCTAGGATGAATCTTCTCGAAACTGGAAAAAAACAACAAAAAAGACCTACAAAACCCGGTCACCATATCACGACCGGTCCGACAGGATACTCGGTCACCATCTGGAGACCGGTTTGAGCCAATCTCGTGACCCGGTCGCCATATGGCGACTGGCTTGGTCCACAAACCAGTCACCATATGGCTACCGGTCCGACATGAGACTCAGTCGCCATATGGCAACCGGTTTGATCCAATCCCGGTCGCCGTATGGTGACTCTGACACAGGACTCGGTCGCTATACTGCAACCGGTTCGATCCAATCCTGGTCGCCATAAGATGACCGGTTCGACTCGTGACCCGGTCGCCATATGGCGACCAGTCTGACACGAGACTTGGTCACCATATGACGACTGGTTTGATCCAATCCTGGTCGCCATATGGTGACCGATCTGACTCGTGACCCGGTCGCCATATGGTGACCAACTTGGTTCACAAACCGGTCGCCATATGGTGACCGGTCTGACTGGGGACTCAGTCGCTATATGGCGACCGGTTTGATCCAATCCTTGTCACCATATAGCGATAGGTATGACTCGTGACCCGGTCGCCATATGGTGATCGACTTGGTTCACAAACCGGTCGTCGTAGGATGACTATTCCGACATGGGACTCGGTCGCCATATGTCGACTAGTTTGATCCAATCCCGGTCGCCATTCCTGGTCGCCATATGGTGACCGGTCCGACTCGTGACCCGGTCGCCATATGGCGACCGGCTTGGTCCACAAACCGGTCCGGCACGAGACTCATTCGTCATATGGCGGCTGGTTCGATACAAAACCCGGTATATTTCCCTCTCAACTAGTTATATTACATTTGGATCGAGCGTCCTTACCCCGTCTTTCTGGGATCACAACTGGACTGATCAACCTCGATCGAAATCACGTTTTGGTTTTTACGATATGGGATCTTTTCATCATACAAAACTGGATCAATCATATGAAACGGTGACGGTTTATCGAAATACCAACCATATTTTTGATTCAAGTTTGTAACTTTCCTAAAACGCTTATAGCAAGATAATGGCCAAAATTAATCCCAAAACAACTATGACAGTTTATCCAATACTCGCGAAAGAAGATAAATACTAAATTCCTGAAGATAAGTGGTAAGATTGGGGAAAAGGAAGAAGTCCGAAAAAGGATAGACTTGGGCCCAAAAACGAGGAAAATGGCGACTCTAAAGATGTATATAAGGAGAGCTAGGAGGAACGAGAAAGTGGATCTTTAAGACCGAGTGAACCCTGGTTAGCTTAGACGGATTTAGGCCTTAGGCGGCTAGACTAGCAAGTCAGAGACTAGGAACGTTTTTATGCTTTAGCTCCGCGATTTTCTTTGTGAATCAGTTCTCGAATCTCTTCATTTATATCTTGTATCGTTACTAGCAATCTTATTATATAAAGTAGAGTTTTATCTCATGTAAAGTTGTCATGTCACTAATTAGTCTCTTAAGGTGATGACATGTGTCGGTTTGAAATTTCATTTTAATCTTTCGATAATGTTATTATTGAGTTTTCATATCAATAATTGTTTTGGGTTTCTTTTTGGACCAAAGAGAATTGTGTTAAGTATGTGATTAACGGATCCACAATGACTATCTTTTTTCAACAGTTTCGCAACGTCGTCGAGGGTTACCACTGTTGTTAACTAAACGACCATGGAGGATCCAGCTGGGTTGCGGGGGTTGGAAATCAGGCCAATCTTTGGTGGAAACGGTTGTTGGTCTTAGTTTGAATAACTCCTCAATTGCTTTAGGGAACCTGGAACATTAAGGATCTCATATGCATTCAGTCATTCTCATTAACCTTCCAATTAACTCCATCTCCCCTATTACTTCAACGTTTTCACATTCATTGCATCCTCCTTTTCTTCCAGTCGGTGAATCTGTATTTATAAATAGCTTAAATTGTATCCACTACAGTGCAAAATAAATATATAGTTTACGCTATATAAATAAATTTAAAATCTTTTCAAACCATGTAAAATTTTTAATATTACGGTTATAAAAATACAAATAGTACCAGATTCTACCAATGGGTTCTCCAAATATGGACAACAAAAACATCTTGGTAGCTGATCTTGAATGGAACATATAAACAACTATGAATTTCTTTCCCCACTATAAACTTACACTATTTTTTGTTTCATGCGGTCTAATTTTGGTAGCTGATCTTATGTATTATATTGTTATCTTAAAAATATGCTTTTCTATTATAGAAAAAAAAAGATATAAAAAAACTCAAAAATATTATTGAGAAGTTAGTTTTCTACATGTGGTGCTCACGTTAACTCTCGCGATGATTGATTACATAGATACCTTTAATAAATTGTTACATTTAATGATTAATCTTGTTTTTGTTTAGTTTATTTTTTATTTTATTTTTGGCAAATAACATATATAATAAAAAGGAAAAATTTATAATGTTATAAGAAATTACAAACGAAAATATATGTATATAACTAGAATTGGCCCGTCCTACTGGCGAGATAATATATATTTAGTTTGTAAACTGTTAATTTTTTATTTTCTGATATATTTCAGGTTTTAATTAGTGTTAGACATTGTTTTGTGACAATGTATCATTTTAATTATTACTACCCTTAAAGCTTAATAATGTGTAGGGTTGGTAAATAGGGGATATACAGAGCAAAAGCTCATTCTGTACACGAATAGGTTCTACCTGTATAATCATGTGAGCTCTCTTCGCAGTCTCATACAAATTTTGCATATTAGCAAGAATTTCTATCTACATCCCAAATAGAATAAGCAAAGCATATGTGAAGTTTATTACATAGTAAATAAATGGTGATGTGTTCTTAAAAGACTCGAATCAAATGCTCTAATGCTCCTGCCCGAAAATTTTTATTTCTAAATATTCCTGCCCGAAATTCTGATCCAAAAAAAATTGAATAAATTTATTTAAATAGAAAAATTTATTAAGATCAGAATACCGAAAGAAACTCGAATAATTACAAGGCAACAAGGGGTATTTCGCGGACCATCCAAACCCGAATCTTAAAAGTCGGATCTCCAGTGTCCATAACTTCAGAAACATTATGAAACTTTGTGTAATTATATAACTTGGTGTAAGTGTAACTGTAATCTAAGTTGAACTAATTCACACTTGTAGTAACTATGCAACTTAGTAAATCTTCAACTAATTTTCATTGTATCTTGTACATTTGCAATATGTTATTGATATATTTAGTGATTACATATTGATTCAACTTTGATTACAGTTAATCCAAGATATAAAAATAGTTATTCATTTGCATTATGTTACTGATAAATAAAAACTATAGACTAAGTTAAACAACTTATAAACACACGAAATGTATTTTACATAAAGTACTTATAAACAACGTATAAACACACGAAAATACTTCATCTCTATTCTTCAATTGGTCAGTGAGCAACGGTCAAATGAATATCATTGCACAAGTCTCAAACTGCACATTGCCAGAAACAATGATTGCATGGTATAATTTCAGAGCACTAACAATTATAACGGATGTTGGAATCTATCTTTTCCAATAGAGACATAAAGATCTGTGGTTTTTCGTAACCCCAATGACCTGAGGATACCTCTGTAGCGAGCATGTGATGCCTCTGATCAGCAAACTCACGTGTAAAAGTAGGAAAACTGTGAACAAGTCCTCTATCATCAACACTAAATGCTAAGTTGAGCATATCATCAATATACTTGGCCAACAAAAATCCCCTCTCACCAGCAAGACAATTTTTTCCCTTCCTTGATCAAGTAAATGGAGGACAAAGAACTCATACATACCTTGCATGTAGGTGGCCTGTGGATTACCGGCTTGATAGCAGTTAAGTCTGAAGGTTCTGACATCATTAACCTCATCAATCCAATCATTGAAGTGAATAAGATCTGCATATTTATAGAAGTATTCTTCTCTGCCAATTTGATTGAAGGCAGGCAATGCAACTCTTGCACTACCAAAGTCTCAGATATGGTTTGTTGCTACCTTAGAGAGAATCTTGTGAAGCATAGAAGGAGGGAGAGATGCCAAGTTAGAGTTCGACATGGTGATATTAGGGTAAGATTAACTTTTTTTCTTTATTTGGACAAAATGATAAACCCTTTTATAATAGCGATGATCCTCAACAGTGGAGAAGAGATAAAATTGTATTAATCACGGCAACTGGTGATTTGATGGAGGTCTCGAGAAGGCACGAGTTCTGACTGCAACAGTCGCATGCGTTGGATTTAAAAATTTGTAAAACTTAGATGATAAAAATAAATAACTTTTTAAAACTAAGTGAAACCGCTTAGAGCATGCTTTTCTTCGTCGTCAGCTAGCGGGCGCAAGCAGAGTGGGACCTTAGAATGTCTAATCATATGAAACTAAGAAAACGTTTAAAAATTTAGATAAGTGTAACAATTTTGATAGTCTAAATATATGAAACTATGTAAACCTTTAAGAAATAAATATATGAAACTGAGAAAACGTTTAGCAATTTAGATAAGTGTAACAATTTTGATAGTCTAAATATATGAAACTATGTAAACCTTTAAGAAATAAATATATTATTCATTAAGAAAATTAGGGGATAATAAATGAAGAGTAATTTAAATTGTGTAATAATGATTTATTACCCCAACTTCCAAAGTTGTAACTCTTCCATTTAAGAGTGATTTGATAGGAAAACGGTGGCTTCCTCTCCACAATTTTCAGATTTATTACCCCAACTACAAGTTAAACGATTTGAAAGACACGACTTTTCACACTAACAGTCACCTATTATCATCATTACACTACATTTAAATCCCACAACAAAACCATATCGTCATTACATTTGCATTCAATTTAAGAAACCCTCAATTTAATCTCCACTCCACCGCAGTAAGTTAAGTTAAATCGACTCCTTTATATCTAAAAACATTTCACCGCAAAGAAAGAATTCATCATCTTTCAAATATGGAACACTACAATACTCTTGGTGAAGTTGTCTATAATGAGAAGGTCAAGCATTGGCATTTCAGAGTAAAAATCATAAGAATCTATCCTTTATATTCCTATGTTACCGGCAAAGGAACACACCATGTTTATGTCATAGCAGATGAACATGTAAGTACGAAATCATCATCTCTCAAGTTTCTAATAACAACAACGGAAAATATAAACTCGCTCGTTAAAATTAATTTATGCAGGGAACCAAGATGGAGATAACCATCTATGATATATATAGAGATAGGTTTAGAGGCCTAGAGAAGCAAGAGGGAAAATGGGTGGAAATCTTTATTGTAGAAGTTGGCCGTGCCCGTTCAGGTTTCAACGCAGCAAAATCCAAATTCACACTAACTGCTACTGGCGATACCCAAATTCATATCATCGATCCTCTGAACGATCAGCTTCACTTTGAGTCCAAATGCATTCATGAAATCTGTCACATGAGCTACAAGGAGAGAAATTTTCCCATAGGTACAAATTCTAACTAATAAATATATTTCATATCATCAGTAAGGGAATCAAATATACTTATCTGGTAGATACAATGGGAGTGGTCTTTAAGACGGAAGCCCATTTTGATGATCCTGAAGGACCAAAGATGGTGTTTTACATAAGGGACAACATGTAAGTATTAAGTAACATATGATCAAAACAAAATGTTTGCATTAGTGTAATTGACTCACCTTGTTTTATTCATCATAGTGAAAGTTAGATAAAATGTGTAGCAACATGGAAACATGCTTATGCCTTACGGAAAGGGTTTGAAAACAGGGGAGGTCGTTGATAGGTGATTGTGTTCCTTAAGATGTGGAGGGTCCGCGACTATTTCTGTAAGTGAACTTTATGCTTATGTGTTCAGGTTTAAATGTGTTAGTTGACTAAAACCTTATCTAAACTCATTTATACAGCTTATTCTGGTCCTATAGAAGAATGACTTCAGACTGAGGGGAACTTATCTGACTTCAGGTTCAATCCGCCCTTGCTGGAGGTAGATGAGTTCAAACAATCGGTCAATAACAATGACCATTATGTTCGGAAGTATGGAGCTATAGGGCCTTTGTAAGATTTAACCAATGTATTAGTGTTTCTTAAACTTGGTTTGTGTTGTTGAACTGCGTTAATGTGTATTAAAAATGTTTTTTTAACCTTTGTAATTGTCCAAGTTCGTGAACCTAAGAATAACTTCAAGTTAACATGAAGTCCGTGTTCGTATAACCAGGTCAAATTTGTGTTAGGTTCAATTTCTCAATTGTCCAACATCGTAAACATTTGAAAAACTTTTAAGTTTACCAAACTTCTCAGTAGTTTAACTTAACTTGAAAGTTGTTGTTCGTATAACCATGTCAAATTTTGTGTTAGGTTCAATTTCTCAATTGTCCAACATCGTAAACATTTGAGAAACTTTTTAAATTGACCATACTTCGTAGTAGTTTAAGTTCGCATAATTTAGGAGAAACTTAGAAAAAACTTAGACAAACATAATGTTTAACTTTGCATAAATTACAAAAAAACTTAGACAAAACAGAATGTTTGACAAAGTCACTAGCTTTAGGAATCACTTGTACATCATAATTCGACCGAGAACTACAACGACAATGATGATACTAACAACACAACACCCTTATACCATTATCTTAGGCATCATTTTGGTACCTTCACTGCTTATTTTTGCTTTGAGCAATTGAACTTTTTCTTCTAGCATCCGAACATGGTATTCTAAGTGTTCAATCTCATCGGTGAAAGCTTCGTCGACCCATTTGAGGACGTGGTCGTCGTTCTCGAGCTACAACATTCCAACATTTTGTTCAAAATATTTAAGAGAACAACCCTTTGATAACTAAAGCTAAACGGACGGTACCCTCTTTTTTGCCGCCTCGAGACACCAATAATACCGGCGATATGGATTTGGACCGGATTTGGAGATGAGCTCGTCGATGCTCTCCTCGCACCAACACCTCCTAGGTATCCCCGGAATTCTTACTCGTCGTCTCCGACTACCGGTCGTGGAAGATAAAGCGGACGTAGTTGGGTTCGACATTGGGGGATTTTGGTTGAGAGAGAGAGAAAGATAGATAAAGGGAAGAGAGAGAAAGTAAAATCTAGAGAATGTGGGAAAACGCAAAAGTAAGGGTTTTAGTACTAATTGGTTTGGGAAGGGGGAAAGAGTGAGATTAGAAATTCGAAAAGCGGGTGGGCGGGAAATTTTTAGCCTTGTATTTTCGTGATTGAAGTTTCACCAAATTTGCAGTTTTACAGAAAACATCAAAGTAGTACTTTATAATTGTTTCCATTTATCTTGGTATTACTCTATTACAATGACTGATTTTATGGTTATACCAGTTATGTTCTGTATACTAGATTCATTTTTCATTTGTCCATGTATACATAAACTCGATTTCATTACATAGTAAGATTTCAAATGAGACAAGGTGAATATTAACGAAAAACATATAAGAAGATAATGTAATGACATCATGATTACTAATAACCAACGAGATTTATTTTTTGTTCTGTAAAATCATAATCAACACAACCCAAAATAACTCATAAAATACCATCTTATTAATACTTTCGTAACAAGTTTAAAATTTACAATCTTATTACTCAGTCTACCTATCGTACTTATACCAGTAAAACATAAAGTTTCACTTAGTTGCACAACACAAAATATAAATATCACATTTCAACATCTCCTATTCTGTTTCTTGTGGGGATGATCATTGTGTTCCTTATATTCCAAACCAGTATCCACATTATCTTCTTCTCCATATCCACTCTCACGTTCACCATAGTTCCTACTACATGAGCTTTCATTCTCAACTCTCGATAGTTGCTCGGTTATTTGAGCTATTCCAATTCTTGGGTGTTCTCTACATGCAAAATACTTATTCTTTGTTCTTTATCCACCGATGTTAGATAAACAAACACATCTTCATCATCCAAAATATATGATTGTCTCTTAGGTTCCACTACCAGTGGAATGTAACCAAATTTCATCCTCAACGTAAACGGACCTATTCCCATCTTCCTGCATATTCTCTCCTTCAAAAAAAAAATAAGTGATCTCCGCCAATGATGATGTCCTAAAGGATATAACATACAAACGACCATCGGTTGGAATCCATTAATAATTATCTCCAGACTTAGAATAATGTCCATCATAATCAAAGTGTATGTTTGTAGAAGAAAGACTCATGTGCAATTACAAAAATTAAACCACTAAGTTATACCTGATTTATTCCTAGTTATACAGTTATAGCATGTTACTTATACGAAGTTATACCTTGCTACACAGTTTTGCCAGTAACCAACTTTTTGCAACTTTTCCCAACCTTTCCCAACTTTTTTAGTTCTAGCTATTCATCTTCTTCAGTTCGTTTGAATAGTTATCAGCTTGGATTCCCGACGTTCTATCTTTTCTTTTTCTTATGATTACAGTCGTTAGTTATCCAATTCCATAATAGACAGACCATTCACACATTCTGATCCTCAAATCGATCGTGTATGGTGGATTCTAAACATTGGATTACGACGAGTTAGGAATGATTTAAGATACATACCCTATCAATGGAATCAATAGCTCAATGATTCAACATCCAAGCGGACAAATTCAACCGACCTAAGCGATGATAACGACGACAAAGAAGAAAGAAACGAATCCGGTGGATGAGAGAGAAAGAACAGATCACTCCCGATTTGGAAATAAAAATAATTCAGAGGATTCTCGATTTTGACCGATTTTGATTGGTCATTAATTCGGTCAAGTAGGGAGGTGCATTATTGACATTAACCATCCATATAGAGAGTATGAGAATAGAGAAGAGTATGTTAGAATGAATTTTGCTTCATTAAGAACATTCCAGCATTTCACCCTAAAGACTCCTTGACATGAACTATAAAAAATATGCTTTTGATTGCCTGTCCTCGTTATTGTCCTACCGGCCGCATCAGAAAATCCATTAACGTGAAGAGTGTTTTAAGAATTCTTCCTATTCAACCATTATCATACCACGTCATATTCCCTGAAAACAAAATTGATTTTTGTCATAATAAAGGCTGCAAGGAAGAGACCCCGTCTCAGAAAAACTCAAAGATCAAATAGATGAGCCTTGAATTGTGTAACTGAGAAAATCGCATGGAAGTTACACTTCTAATCATCAATAAATATATTCAACAGGAAGAGAAAAGCTTCCATAGAGGTGGTTGTGCTTTTAGTACCTCATATAGGAGAAGGCATCCACAAACGTAATGTGGTGGATGTTGTAAAGACTCAGTATCCTTTAATAACTTGGTACTGAATGAAAACAGCTGAAATAAAATAAACACTTATTTATATGAACAGATTGAACAAAACAGACGTTTTAAACTAATAATCACACTCTAGTATGCTTGGGAGAGGTTAGACACACTCGTATAACAGAAGTAAACCTAATACAAAGTATCACAAGAAGAACAATAAAAGCTTAATGAAAAAGAGGTACCTTTGACATCCATTCAGTGACTTCTTTCACTCCGTCGATGTTGAGACAAAGCTAAAACATATATACATGAAGTTTTAGAACAGAGCCTCTTCTATATAATTCAAACTGTACAATTCACCAATATCTCATGGCCTTTCAGCTTCAAGAATAGCAAGCTTCTCATGTATCTCAACAGGAACTGTGTTAATACTAAGTCAAATCACAAAAATGCTATTTCTATCCTTTATGTATCCTAAAACCCCACAAAAGAGAATGAGAAATACACGGTCAGCTGCAGAGTTCTTGAGTTGTTTGAGAGAAAAGATGGTTTCTGCATTAGACGCATAATCAGACGTACAAAGCTCGCAATGGATTAGACTACGGCTGGTTCTGTTGTTCCTCGGAACACCAATGAGACCCAATGGAGTCTGTGAAGTAGACGAAGAAGAAGAAGACACGTTCTGGTGATTTAATAAAGTCTCAATCTTTGGGTAACCAAAGAAATCACTCGAGACCGCCTTAGAAACCCAATCAGACGAAGATGATAATGATTTTTATGAACGGAATTACCTTAGCATCAAGGAGGAGCATGCCCAAAACCATCAGCTAACTACAGTGTTTCACGGTCCTATCTTCCCGATTCAAGTGATTTTATGAACTGAGAGGATGATGTTCAGGAGATGAGGCCTGAGCTTTTTATAGGAGGATAAACACTGTCTGGAAGAGGAATAAGAAGCATTGAATGATTGATCGTGCTTGTGGGTCCAAGGAGTAAAGATGCTACTTAATGGCCATGAATCGTTTCGTTACATTCTGAAGGAGACGAATCTAAGACGAAAAGACAGGAAGTAAACTGACACATAGATTCCACACGAATATTTGACACAAACAACCTACCGGAACCTCCATTGGAGTTTGACCTAATCGAATCTTTAGAAACTCAGAACCGTAGAATCCATCGAAGAAGATGAATGTAAAAACTGGTAACATTTGACCTTTTTTTGTAAGCACAGTAACCCACAAACGAATATAGCGTTGCAGTCCGTTAAGGCCCATTAAAAAAACTCGAGAAAAAAATTTTGAACTAAAAAAACTGGACAGGTGTTGATTTATCCTTTCTCTATTTAGTGACGTGGCAGCCTCAATGTAGGAAAACTCTACTTTATATATATATATATACTAGTGGTTGACCGGCGCTACGCACCAGGTTCATATGTGTTATTCGAAAATGAATTTAGAATTTATTTTACGGCTTTGGTAAAGCTATTATGTTCAAATATTTATGTTGAAAATATGTTGAAGATAATGTTATTTTTCTGATGAAAAGTGGAATAGTATAGGTGGTTGTCATTGATCGATTAAAAAAACTTGTCCTAATTTAATATTATAATTTAAATTAAGATGAGTGACATATGAAAACAAAAGATGATTTTTTTTTTTGATTAGTAAGGTTTTCTTGTTTTCTAACTTTTCTTTTTATAACTGTTGGTTTTCAATAAATTTTTTAAGTAGTTTTTTTGTGTTCTGTGTATTTTTCCTTTTTAAAAGATAAATTTATTGTGTATTTTCACGGTCTATTTTCTTCTTATAAACACAAAACATA